GGTGAGTGACGGTGGTGTTGGTGAGTGACGGTGGTGTTGGTGAGTGACGGTGGTGTTGGTGAGTGACGGTGGTGTTGGTGAGTGACCTGCGCCTAAATATTCCCAACATGTTAAATATAGAATATTAATTTATATTTGAGAAAATTCCCAGATGAAATGAATAACATGATAAAAATGGGATCTTTGGGGTTGGCCGCTGGATGGAATGAACACAGGCTGAGGATGGGTTCGTTCTCACATGTTGTGACTAACGGACAAGCGTCGAGGATGTTGTCTCACGCCTTGTGTTGTAAACACCTTCACAAGGTGTTGTAAACATTTGAAGTATCACTCAACACATGTACAGATGAAGGTGTTAAGGGGGGGGGGGGGGGAAGAGATGGTGGTACCAGGTCGAGTGAATAATTACCTACTAACGTTTCGGTAAACGCAAGTCAGGAGGCAATGTGATAACTACCAATTTAATGCTTGCTCTCTCTTTCTCTGTCTCTCCCCCTCTATCTCTCTGTCTCCGTTTCTCTGTCTCTCTCTCTCTATCTATCTCAGCATTAAAACCGAATTAAAAGCTTGCTCCCACCATTTACCCGCACTTGAAAACACAGTACGTCAGATACGCTCCCTAGATCAAAATCGAAAACAATTATTTGGTACACAGCGAGCAATCACACTAACGTGATGCATCAATGACAAAATCCGTTAGATAAGGATCCATCATACCATAAGAATAAATCTGAATAAATGAAATTTTTGAAAATAATATTTGAAGCTGTCCAATGCATAAAAAAACAATCCTTTTGGGGCACCATCTGGGCAGAACATAATGGAAGACACCACCGAGAAGACAATGGAATACTTCAAGCCAAGTTGAGGGTTGTGGTGGACTCTACAACTCAAAGTTTTCTTATCAAAAATGTGGTATTCCATCGCGTGAGATATTATGGCGGCCCGTATGGCTTGAACTGGACCCACGAACCTCTATGCTATCATTTTTACTTGGAACAAATTGGTTCTCGGGTTGTGAAGCAGGTTAACAGACACAACCACTCACCACAGACACAACCACTCACCACAGCCACTCACCACAGACACACCCACTCACCACAGCCACTCACCACAGACACAACCACTCACCACAGCCACTCACCACAGACACAACCACTCACCACAGCCACTCACTACAGACACAACCACTCACCACAGCCACTCACTACAGACACAACCACTCACCACAGCCACTCACTACAGACACAACCACTCACCACAGACACAACCACTCAACACAACCACTCACCACAGACACAACCACTCACCACAGCCACTCACCACAGACACAACCACTCACCACAGCCACAACCACTCACCACAGCCACAACCACTCACCACAGCCACAACCACTCACCACAGCCACAACCACTCACCACAGCCACAACCACTCACCACAGACACAACCACTCACCACAGACACAACCACTCACCACAGACACAACCACTCACCACAGCCACAACCACTCACCACAGCCACAACCACTCACCACAGACACAACCACTCACCACAGACACAACCACTCACCACAGACACAACCACTCACCACAGACACAACCACTCACCACAGACACTCACCACAGACACAACCACTCACCACAGACACAACCACTCACCACAGACACAACCACTCACCACAGACACAACCACTCACCACAGACACAACTACTCACCACAGACACAACCACTCACCACAGACACAACCACTCACCACAGACACAACCACTCACCACAGACACAACCACTCACCACAGACACAACCACTCACCACAGACACAACCACTCACCACAGACACAACCACTCACCACAGACACAACCACTCACCACAGACACAACTACTCACCACAGACACAACCACTCACCACAGACACAACCACTCACCACAGCCACAACCACTCACCACAGACACAGCCACTCACCACAGACACAGCCACTCACCACAGACACAACCACTCACCACAGCCACTCACCACAGACACAACCACTCACCACAGACACAGCCACTCACCACAGCCACTCACCACAGACACAACCACTCACCACAGACACAACCACTCACCACAGCCACTCACCACAGACACAGCCACTCACCACAGCCACTCACCACAGACACAACCACTCACCACAGACACAACCACTCACCATAGACACAACCACTCACCACAGCCACTCACCACAGACACAACCACTCACCACAGCCACAGCCACTCACCACAGACACAACCACTCACCACAACCACTCACCACAGCCACAACCACTCACCACAGCCACTCACCACAGACACAACTACTCACCACAGACACAACCACTCACCACAGACACAACTACTCACCACAGACACAACTACTCACCACAGACACAACCACTCACCACAGACACAACCACTCACCACAGACACAACTACTCACCACAGACACAATGTGATGTGGTGGAGGCTCACTCCATACACAGTTTCAAGTGTAGATATGACAGAGCCCGATAGGCTCAGGAATCTGTACACCTGTTGATTGGCGGTTGAGAGGCGGGACCAAAGAGCCAGAGCTCAACCCCCGCAAACACAACTAGGTGAGTACTAGGTGAGTACAACCACTCACCACAGACAACTACTCACCACAGACACAACCACTCACCACAGCCACAACCACTCACCACAGACACAGCCACTCACCACAGACACAGCCACTCACCACAACCACTCACCACAGACACAACCACTCACCACAGACACAACCACTCACCACAACCACTCACCACAACCACTCACCACAGACACAACCACTCACCACAGACACAACCACTCACCACAGCCACAGCCACTCACCACAGACACAACCACTCACCACAGCCACAACCACTCACCACAGAAACAACCACTCACCACAGCCACTCACCACAGCCACAACCACTCACCACAGCCACAACCACTCACCACAGACACAACCACTCACCACAGACACAACCACTCACCACAACCACTCACCACAGACACAACCACTCACCACAGACACAACCACTCACCACAGCCACAACCACTCACCACAGACACAACCACTCACCACAGACACAACCACTCACCACAGACACAACCACTCACCACAGACACAACCACTCACCACAGGCACAACCACTCACCACAGGCACAACCACTCACCACAGCCACAACCACTCACCACAGCCACAACCACTCACCACAGCCACAACCACTCACCACAGCCACAACCACTCACCACAGCCACAACCACTCACCACAGCCACAACCACTCACCACAGCCACAACCACTCACCACAACCACTCACCACAGACACAACCACTCACCACAGACACAACCACTCACCAAAGACACAACCACTCACCACAGCCACAACCACTCACCACAGACACAACCACTCACCACAACCACTCACCACAGACAACCACTCACCACAGACACAACCACTCACCACAGACACAACCACTCACCACAGCCACAACCACTCACCACAGCCACAACCACTCACCACAGCCACAACCACTCACCACAACCACTCACCACAGACACAACCACTCACCACAACCACTCACCAAAGACACAACCACACACCACAGACACAACCACTCACCACAGACACAACCACTCACCACAGACACAACCACTCACCACAGACACAACCACTCACCACAGACACAACCACTCACCACAGACACAACCACTCACCACAGACACAACCACTCACCACAGACACAACCACTCTCCACAACCACTCACCATAGACACAACCACTCACCACAGACAACCACTCACCACAGACACAACCACTCACCATAGACACAACCACTCACCACAGACACAACCACTCACCACAGCCACAACCACTCACCACAGACACAACCACTCACCACAGACACAACCACTCACCACAACCACTCACCATAGACACAACCACTCACCACTGCCACAACCACTCACCACAGACACAACCACTCACCACAGCCACAACCACTCACCACAGACACAACCACTCACCACAGCCACAACCACTCACCACAGCCACAACCACTCACCACAGCCACAACCACTCACCACAGCCACAACCACTGACCACAGACACAACCACTCACCACAGACACAACCACTCACCACAGACACAACCACTCACCACAGACACAACCACTCACCACAGACACAACCACACCACAGACACAACCACTCATCACAGACACAACCACTCACCACAGACACAACCACTCACCACAACCACTCACCACAGCCACAACCACTCACCACAACCACTCACCATAGACACAAGCACTCACCACAGCCACTCACCACAGACACAACCACTCACCACAGACACAACCACTCACCACAGACACAACCACTCACCACAGACACAACCACTCACCACAGACACAACCACTCACCACAGACACAACCACTCATCACAGACACAACCACTCACCACAGACACAACCACTCACCACAACCACTCACCACAGCCACAACCACTCACCACAACCACTCACCATAGACACAAGCACTTACCACAGCCACTCACCACAGACACAACCACTCACCACAGACACAACCACTCACCACAGACACAACCACTCACCACAGACACAACCACTCACCACAGACACAACCACTCACCACAGACACAGCCACTCACCACAGACACAGCCACTCACCACAGACACAACCACTCACCACAGACACAACCACTCACCACAGACACAACCACTCACCACAGCCACTCACCACAGACACAACCACTCACCACAGACACAACCACTCACCACAGACACAACCACTCACCACAGACACAACCACTCACCACAGACACAACCACTCACCATAGACACAACCACTCACCACAGACACAACCACTCACCACAGCCACAACCACTCACCACAGCCACAACCACTCACCACAGCCACAACCACTCACCACAGACAACCATGCAGGGGCCTCACCGTCAGGGTAGTGGAGCAGGTCAGGCACGTCGCTGAACACCGTGGCGCACGATAGCTTCACCGTAGTCCCCGCCTTCGTCGCCGGCCAGCAGTACAGTGAGTCCCAGGTGGCGTTACAGTAGTCACCTGTGGGAGTGTTCCAGGACGGTGTTAGTACCAGTAGTACAGTGTTAGTACCAGTAGTACAGTGTTAGTACCAGTAGTACAGTGTTAGTACCAGTAGTACAGTGTTAGTACCAGTAGTACAGTGTTAGTACCAGTAGTACTGTGTTAGTACCAGTAGTACTGTGTTAGTACCAGTAGTACAGTGTTAGTACCAGTAGTACAGTGTTAGTACCAGTAGTACTGTGTACCAGGATGGTGTAGTCAGATTCCAACATTTATCCTCAACAACAAGAGAAAGATCCCAACTGGCTTACAGGAAGCGGAGTAGTTAACCATCCAGTAGTTACTAGTACTTCCAACCAGTTAACCATCCAATAGGTTGGATGGTAGTTAACTACCGGATAGTAGTAAGTACTGGATGGTACTTAACGAGCCAGTAGTTACTACCATCTGTCTCCCTCGTAACCACTGACTACCCTCTCGGAATCTCTCATGACTGTGGGAAGATTGCCAGAGAAATACCCAATAGCTTCCGCAAGAAGCCTTGCACCTCTCCATGCATTATTCAACCCTATGGCACAATGATCAATTCCCTCGCCAGTCTATTGGCTCTTGCCTCTCAATATCTACTCTGAAGGATTCTATTTAAGGAGCGGGTTCAACTTTAAATTAATTCCCAGAGTCCTGGGATACGTCTTGAGGAACGCACGCCTGGGTCAAAGAGGAAGATCTTTACATCAAGAGCGGCGCCAAATGTAAACATTGCGTCGTACAAGACCAGATAACTATCGTAAGAGCTCACGGTAACCTCGACCTGATTGGTTAACGCAGGCTGCGTCTACGCTACTGACACGATGATTGGTCCATAGTCACCAGCTGGTGACCGTGGGGGGTGGACAGTCCTCAGCTGGTGTGGTGGACAGCTGGTCTCAACAGCTGGAACACCAGGTGTTCACGAAGGATGAGATAAAAGTTACTTTTATAATATAACTTTACAATCATGATAAACATCTTCCTCGTGCTGCTTCTCTCCTCACTGGGTTCCTGTCTATCTGTTCCTCTCCATTATAAATGTTTCCATACAATGTTGTCTGTATTTCTTTCTTTAAATCTCTAGGTGATTGCTCACACACCTCCTTGTCGTTTTCTGCAAGAATTCCTCCATGTCTTCACAATGTGATCACATGGACTCTTACTGTTAGTTTTCTCCTCGTGTGGCTGAACAAACAGTTTGGTTGGTGTGAGGCTTTTGTCGTAATGTTAATTTGAAATGGCTTTTCAATTTCCCAACTGACTTGAGTGTATTCGTTTGTGGCTGTTTTAGTTCCTCTCTGTAGTACCGTACTGTTTTCCTACCGTTGTTCTGTTGCTGTTGACTCTTCCCTCCGTTGTCCTGTTGCGTTTCCTGTACCAGTCCTGAAACGTTGGTTTCCTTCAAGGCGTTCTGCTTGAACGCCTTGAAGGAAACCAACGTCGTCTATACCTTCACATGCCCACTTGGGGACTTTCGTTTTAATATTATTTTCTACCACAGACGTGGCCAGACATTTACAATGCTAACCAGCATATATACATTTTCTTCTGTCCTCCATGGACAGGGTGAGAGATGTGTTAAACATATAGTTCAGGTGTTGAACAAATCCACAAGGGCCGTGATGAGGATTCGAACCTGTGTCCTGTTGTGTCTGGGATGCTCCCGGACGCAGGTTCGAATCCTCGTCACGGCCCTTGTTGATTTGTTCATTTGATGTATCACGTTAGTGTGATCTCTGTGTAGTTCAAGGGTTTATTGAACAATCAACCACAGAAGGTGATTCGGTGCTTTTAAAATGCTAAGCTAACCTACATATGTAAATACATAGATACACAGATTTACGTATGCCCTACATAAAGTGTTCGATGTGTCTTTTACATAGTGTCATTAATGTGCATTTACAAATGTGAAATGTATTTCTGATCAGCTTCCATATACTTGGGGGCTGTAAGCCCCAAAGAACTTAGTATATAGGCAAGACAACAACATCTCTTTCCAGGCGATTAACAATGCACAAACAACAGGGCTCCATAAAGGAGCATATAATCTCTTCCCACAACCAGACCATCACCAGAGAAGTCTTAACAAACAACACAGAAATCATCGATAGATACAGCGATAGCAGGAGACTCGACATCATCGAGGCACTACACATCAAGAAGTCAACACCAGCAATCAACAGCCAATTAATGCACAACTATATTCTACCCACTTCAAGACCCCGAACCAATATAGAAGCATCAAGAGGAAGTATGGGCCAATAGGCCTTCTGCAGTTACTTCCATTCTTATGTTCTCAAATGCTTTTATTATGCTGTTATCCATTCCTCCCATTTTTTTTTTAATAAATTTCATTATATTTCTCTTTAAGTTTTTAATTATATTCTTCCTTTTTTACTGTCCTGAGTATCTTGAAACTGCCTCCCCAGTGACGTGTGAGGTTGCAGGGGTTCTCTGGGGTTTGTCAGTACCTCCAGGGGTTCTCTGGGGGTTGTCAGTACCTCCAGGGGTTCTCTGGGGTTGTCAGTACCTCCAGGGGTTCTCTGGGGGTTGTCAGTACCTCCAGGGGTTCTCTGGGGTTGTCAGTACCTCCAGGGGTTCTCTGGGGTTGTCAGTACCTCCAGGGGTTCTCTGGGGTTGTCAGTACCTCCAGGGGTTCTCTGGGGTTGTCAGTACCTCCAGGGGTTCTCTGGGGTTGTCAGTACCTCCAGGGGTTCTCTGGGGTTGTCAGTACCTCCAGGGGTTCTCTGGGGGTTGTCAGTACCTCCAGGGGTTCTCTGGGGGTTGTCAGTACCTCCAGGGGTTCTCTGGGGGTTGTCAGTACCTCCAGGGGTTCTCTGGGGGTTGTCAGTACCTCCAGGGGTTCTCTGGGGGTTGTCAGTACCTCCAGGGGTTCTCTGGGGTTGTCAGTAACTGCTACAATGGCTTTCTCTTTCGATACTAAAATGATTCCTTCAACATTTTCTGCAGAATTAACTTTCCTCCCCAATGTTGATATCATAATTCATGTGTGTTTGTGTGTGTGTGTGTGTGTGTGTGTGTGTGTGTGTGTGTGTGTGTGTGTGTGTGTGAGTGTACGTGGCTCTTGTCAGGGCGATCACTAACATGATTAGTTGGTCACTAGCTGTTTCCCTCGGTCTCAGCTGTCTTCGTAGGTCCAACAAGTCCCTGATGTTGGTAACGCCAGTGTGGACCTCGGCCCACTGGCCCTCCCTGTAGCCAGGGTCCTCGGTCCACTGGCCCACCCTGTAGCCAGGGACCTCGGCCCACTGGCCCTCCCTGTAGCCAGGGTCCTCGGCCCACTGGCCCTCCCTGTAGCCAGGGACCTCGGCCCACTGGCCCACCCTGTAGCCAGGGACCTCGGCCCACTGGCCCTCCCTGTAGCCAGGGTCCTCGGTCCACTGGCCCTCCCTGTAGCCAGGGACCTCGGCCCACTGGCCCTCCCTGTAGCCAGGGACCTCGGCCCACTGGCCCTCCCTGTAGCCAGGGACCTCGGCCCACTGGCCCTCCCTGTAGCCAGGGACCTCGGCCCACTGGCCCTCCCTGTAGCCAGGGACCTCGGCCCACTGGCCCTCCCTGTAGCCAGGGACCTCGGCCCACTGGCCCTCCCTGTAGCCAGGGACCTCGGCCCACTGGCCCTCCCTGTAGCCAGGGACCTCGGCCCACTGGCCCTCCCTGTAGCCAGGGACCTCGGCCCACTGGCCCTCCCTGTAGCCAGGGACCTCGCCCCACTGGCCCTCCCTGTAGCCAGGGTCCTCGGCCCACTGGCCCTCCCTGTAGCCAGGGACCTCGGCCCACTGGCCCTCCCTGTAGCCAGCGACCTCGGCCCACTGGCCCTCCCTGTAGCCAGGGACCTCGGCCCACTGGCCCTCCCTGTAGCCAGGGACCTCGACCCACTGGCCCTCCCTGTAGCCAGGGTCCTCGGCCCACTGGCCCTCCCTGTAGCCAGGGACCTCGGCCCACTGGCCCTCCCTGTAGCCAGGGACCTCGGCCCACTGGCCCACCCTGTAGCCAGGGACCTCGGCCCACTGGCCCTCCCTGCCTGTCTGGACTAATATACGCATTCAACGTTCCTTAGACGCCACAAGCAATTCTGAATTTCAATTTGTTTACTATCAATTGATTTCAGAAGATGAAACACCTGGCCAGAATATGTACGAGTGCTCCGGGGCTTCCTACAGCTGGCTCAGCTGTCGACCGTGTGGACGTGGCTCTCCCACACCTTCTTCAGCTTCCCGCTCCCCCTTACGAACCCCACACATACACCCTTCACCACATACACCCTCCCCACCCCCACATACACCTTGCCTTTGTTACCCCATCACTGTAACCACGGTTTCTTAAGCAACAGTTAAAGTCTACGGACTTCACATTCCATATTTCACTTACTTATGAAGGTGGTGATAGGGGCCGACCCCTTCAAGGGTGGCATGAGCCCCGACCTCAACCTCCTTACGACACTTCCTACAAGATCTCCTTCAATCCTGCAAGGTTTATTGAGGTTGACTCCAAGTGTGTGGCGTGCAACACTGGCCAGACAGCGTTACACACATTCTAATTTATGGCTAACAATGGCTCGCGCAGCTTGTGTATTGGTGTCTTTATTCCAATGAATTATTTCCAATGTATTGTGTAGCAACACACGACGCGTTCAGAACGTACAGACACACGACGCGTTCAGAACGTACAGACACGACGCGTTCGGAACGTACAGACACGACGCGTTCAGAACGTACAGACACGACGCGTTCAGAACGTACAGACACACGACGCGTTCAGAACGTACACACACACGACGCGTTCAGAACGTACAGACACACGACGCGTTCAGAACGTACAGACACACGACGCGTTCAGAACGTACAGACACGACGCGTTCAGAATGTACAGAGACACGACGCGTTCAGAACGTACAGACACACAACGCGTTCAGAACGTACAGACACACGACGCGTTCAGAACGTACAGATACACGACGCGTTCAGAAC